CCAAGGCCGGAGCTTTCAATAGGGGGCTCCCGTTCCGACAAGGGAAGCCTGGCCTGCTCTTCTGGATCCTTCATCAGCTTCGGCAGCTTCAGGTTCCGTCTAGCCCACCCAGACGTGTAGTTCATGGCCTTCAAAGCACGAGATAGCCGCCGACACAGGAGCCTTTGCATCCGCTCCTGGCCCATGTTATAATACACGGCCATCTCTCTGCTGAAATACTCCTGGCCGGCGGGGGAGTTCATCCCCCAATTCTCAAGCCTGGCGGCCACCACCTCGTAGCACCAGGGGAGCCTCTCATCGGCCTTCCACCCCTCGGCCAGGAACTTCTCAACGGCCTCATCAGCAGCCCTCACAACGGCGGCCTCGGCCTCAGCCTTCGCCTTCACGGCCTCCTCGTTCTTGCGCCGCTCGGCCTCCAGCGCCCTTTGGGACTCCTCGAGCCCCCTTTTGCTCTCCTCGAGCTTGACCAGGGCATCATCCCTGGCTGCAACGGCTTCATCGGCCCTCTGCTGCAGAGCCTTGGCATCCTCCCGGAGCCGATCAAGGCAAGCTACCGCCTCGTCGGCCGAGGCAGCCTTCTGCTCCAGCTCCTTCAAGCGAGCTATCTCCCGGTACTGCCTTTTATGGCTCTCCATGAGCATAAAGGCACTCTGCAGAACAAGGAAAACAATTCAGGCAAATGACTCTACACAGACGACGAGAAAGACAACACATAAGGAAAGTAACTTACTTGGACGAGGAGGTCCATGCCGCCCTCGTAAATCTTCACGTCCCCGAGCTTCTTCAAATAAGCCCGATCTTTGGCCGGCATGGCCTGGGCCAGGACGTCGTGGCCAAGGACGACATCATCAAACACACCCCCGCCAACGGGGTATTCTACCATCTTCTGGTAGGTGGCACCGGCAATCTCCTTGCCGGCCCTCTTCGTCCGTGGTTCCTGGACGAGAGGAAGCGATGGGGAAGCATCGCAAGCAGCAGTAAGGTCCACGACGGGACCACTATCGTCCACGCGCGGGACAGTCAGAGTACCGGCCTCGCTAGCCGGGGAAGGAGACGGCGCCATCTTCGTCTTCTTCGAGACGTTCAGGCCGGCTTCGGTCAATTTTTTCTGGCCGTCATTGGCCGGCCTCTTCTTCTTCGATTGGGCAGGCCTTGGGGCCGCATCAGTAGTAGCCCCGCTCCCATCGGCCGCGGCACGTCTGGCCGCCTCGGCCGCCTTAGCAGCCAGCTCCTCGGCCGCTTTGGCCTTGGCAATAGCCATTATGGAACGTCGGTCCATGGCAAAATCTACAAAGGAAAAACACAACAGATTAGTAAGGCAAAGGAACAAAACATAAAGATAGAAAGCTGAAGAAATAATTACCATCGGCCTCAGCAGGGATGCCCAAATCCGGGCCGTCGGCCTCTTCAAAGGTGGTGGTCATCCTCGGCCAGAGTTGGAGGTCATCCTCCTTATCGCCATACAAATGGTATCTAAAGAAGCCGAGAGCGGTCATCTTGTATTCAGTAACGTAATCCTTCACGCTCCTCGGCCCCCCTTCCAGGAAAGCCTCCACCTGAGCGTCCAAGATCGAGCTCTTCGGCGGGTCATGGAGATTGAACCTCCCGGTATGGCCGAGAGAGGGGAACTCGGTGCCACTCTCACCCTGGGATACGAAAACGAACTTACTCTTCCACCCATGAATGGACGAAGGCAAGTCCGTGAAGCTCCTCTTCTTCGGCAGCTGTTGAAGAGTAGCATAGGCCGCACAGTTCTTGTGGCTTCCTCGGCCGATCTGGTACAAATTCATGAATAGGGCCGTTGTCGGCCTGTAGCCCAGCTCCTCACACCGGAGTAAGAAGCCCACCATCAAGGAATAACTGTTCGGCGTCAGCAAGGCCGGAGGAAGCCCTACCATGTCCAGGTACTCAGTGATGAAAGGGTGAAGGGGGAACCTCAACCCCTTAGTAAAACTCATCGGGTATACCCCAAAGTATCCCGGTGGCGGAAGAAGAACATGGTCCGTCGGCCTGGGTGCCCTAACCCGCCCGAACGGCCCCACGTACATCTGGGCAACAAGATAGTCGGTCGCACTGCTCTCCGGCTTGATCAAAAAGATATTGGTGAGATCCAGGTAGGAGATGCCCGGCCCATTCTTCGGCCTCCTCACCCTCTTCGGCTTAACTGCTCCCTTCACGGCAGACACCGGCCTTGGGCAGGGAATGACAGCAGAAGTGGACGCCCCGTCCACCACTCAGGACGCACCTACGTCCTCACCTTTTGAAGAGGAGGCAGACTCCTCGTCCTCGCTTTCCTCGTCCACCGACTCTTCGGATTTGTAGGGACTTAAATGCTCTATCTCCTCCTCGAACTCCTCGAGCACCTCGTAGTCAAGTGACCTCGTGGAGGGCTGGTCGTCGTAGGGGTAGTAGTCTTCGTTCAAGCTCTTCATAACTGCTACTACGGGCCTAAGGAGACTAACTTAAGATCTAAGGGTGTTCAAACGCCTAACACTAGATCAATAGTCTAGGAAGCAAAATATGAAAAGTGAGGAAGATCGCGATGAACACTAACCTTGAACAACGAAGAACACGAAGAACAAGCTTGGGAGTTTATCTCTCTAGAAAAATGGCCAGCACTTCGACAATTCAGAATGCAAATGTGGTTTCTCGTCGGAGGGGGAGGGGTATTTATAGGACCCCCACCCAACGGTCACTACACGTGGCACCCTCCCAATGGCCACACCAACGGCCACCAATGGGGGGCCACCACGTCACCAACGGGCCAATCTACACATCAAGAGCCCAATGTCGGATCAGACTCTACGGCCCACACGCTTACCGGCTTTACAAATGCCAGCAAGCGCCCACAACGTCCCACTTGCTCGCCAAGATCACAACTGCCAAACAATAAGGAGACGACAACGGCCAGGAACGTAACGGCCACAGGACCAAAGGAAACAAGAGCCCACAAGCCATCGGCTCCTCGTCATGACCCTTGATGATAACTCTCTACAAGCGATCTGCGCACAAGGGTTCTCCCACAGGGTTACCTTGGCCAGAAAATCGCCATGAGGGTTGGATTCAGGGGGACTACGGAGAGGCCGCTTCGGCCAGGGACTCAAGCAGCTCCTTCACCCCTCACACTCTTCGGCCTGAAGCAGTGGGGGACTGGGGGACCACACCGGCCTCAACAAAACAAAGAAAAAATGCAAAAAAGGTAACCACAAAGCATGGCCACATCGGCCATGTATCACACTGCGCCTCGTCGGCCAAAGGCACACAACGTCATCATCAACGGCCAACGGGCCACCTAAGGCAAGAACACTCATCGTCCTCCGCCATCACTTAATCACGATGGGCTCTTCGCCCAGGAACATGAAAGCCAATCAACGACGGCCAAAAAGAGTGCGCAAACACCCCCATCGGCCATCCAAAGGGAAAGACGCCATCGTCCTCGAAGCAAGGATCAACCTCAGTGGCCTCATCGGCCCAAACACAAACTTCAACCATCAACGCCCAAGCAAAACGTGCCTTTCAACGGCCACCATTGAAAGAAGGACACTCATCGTCCCAAAACGAAGACATCAAGTAAAACAACGGCCTCCCTTTCCACAACAAGGAACAGGTAACGGCCAAGGGCAACAAGGCATAGGAATCTACTCTCATTCACTTCGTCTACGTCTCAGCTTAGAGAGTGAGGGACTCCTGATGGAGTATATGGGTCTGAGCCCCCGGACCCACATACTCGGAAGAACAGAAAGCATAAGACAACAAAGTGGCGCCCTCGTCGGCCAAGACGCCCCCGACGGCCGAAAAGGGGCCAGCACAGATTATGGTCCTGAGCCCAAGGAACCCGGGTGCCCTCGTCGGCCGTGCCCTCGTCGGCCGTGCCCTCGTCGGCCACGCCCTCGTCGGCCACGAGGACCTCCCAGAACCGGATTTTATACTTATTCATTTGTACAGCCCATTAGTGGCTTTGTATTCGGCCCAGTAGCGGTCCAGTTGTAAATGGGCCTCCCAAGCCTAAGGCTTGGGAGCCCAGCCCGTATTTTCTCTATAAATATTCCCCTTGGGAGTAGTTGTAGGGGTGGAGAATTCACTAATACGAAGCAAATATACTACTTCTTTCTCTAGCTCTCACTTCTCTCTAGAATCTAGGAGTTAATACTCCATCAATATATATATATAAACAACACATTTAGATATCTTAGGGACACATGAATACATACTTGGGGTATAAAATTGTTGGTCTATAAAAGAAGGAGTGGACTCGGGCCGGGCCAACCGGACCGGCCCGCTACTGTGCGAGCCCGGACCGGCCCGGTGAACCGGTTGGTTGGCCGATTCGAGCCACCCGGCCCGGTGGGATGGCGGTTCGGGCTCGGGCCCTTCAAAACGTGAACAGGCCCGGCCCGTTCGGGCCCGGACCGGGCCAATTTTTTTTTTTTTTGAATTTTTTTAAGTTTTTGGGTTGGCCTGGGTATTTTGGGCCATTTGAGGTGGTTAGGGTTGGTTTGGGGGTGAGGGGGAGGGTTGGGGGTTAAATGGGAAAAGCCAAAAAAAAAATTAGAACCGAGGCCCAACCCGGACCCGGGGGGTTACCCGGGCCGATTCTGGGCCTCCCCTTCATGAACCGAGGCCCGGCCGGGCCAAGGCCCGAACCGGATCCGGTCCATCCCTATATAAAAGAGGTCTATTGATATAGAAAAAATATAAAAAATTCAAATGCATTATATTTGAACAGTTCGGTTCGATATTTTTCGGTTCTCAAAATCTAGGACCGGTCCCGTACCTGTTTCAAGTGATACGATTTCGATACAAGATAAAAATATATAGAACCGTTTAAATACCCGGTATTCGGTACGGTACCATTACAGGACTGTTCGGTACCGGTTCGGTTCGGGTTTTATGTCCACCCCTACTCATTGTTACCTGGGTTGTACGCCTCCTGAACCTATCCCCCCTCTGTGTTTCTTTCTTTCTTCTTATCTTTTTAGGCGAAATTGACAAGATTAATCCCTACTTTCACCAATTAAACAAAAATAATTCATACTTTAAACTATTACATGAATAATCCAAACTTCCATTGAGGTCCACATAAATATAAAAAATTAGACGGCGCTTTCTTTTAGCCTAACACCGTTTAACCCAACTCTCTTATCTGTATTTATTTCTCTTTATGATCTTATTCCGAACTTCTCCACGCATTTACTCGTCCCGATTCTCAAATGACATGACAGAGAGCTGGACAAATTATTTTCTCCAACAACAATTTCTTCGTAGCTGGAATTCTCTCTGACTCATTCTTAAGATTTTCATTCCTTTTCACAATTAACAGAGATCATATCTCGAACACTTGAAGCTGTGATTTTTCTCCAGCAACTCAATTATTGGACCTGTTCCCATAAGAAGACAACACACTTATCACTTAATCATTCAGCAAAATCAAAACAAAAAATTTAAGCAACAATTAGCATACACTAAAGCTCAATTTTTTACAGTTTTTAGTTCTAAAACTCAAAAGTAACAAGATTATGACACTTCATAACTACAAAAAATCTACCTAGTATTTGTTTTACCTTCGATATTTAACCAGATTATGACACTTCATAACTACAAAAAATCTACCTAGTATTTGTTTTACCTTCTGCAGATGCCTGGCTGATCTCGTTGCATTAGGAATCTACCCATACTCAAAGCCGCCATCGTCGATAGTGGTGTCGTTGAAACTGATGCTCGGATCTACGATGAGCTCACCATTGTTGGCAGCTTGGCACCTTAATTTCTGAAAGAGTCAAAAGAGGAGTCCGAAGAGAAAAAGAAAAGGGTGATCGGAGCCCTAATACTCCTTATATTTTAGGCAATGAAAATGAAGGAAGAAAAGATGAAGAGGGATTGAGGGAACAAATACTCCGTATATTTTATGAGTGCCTATACCGTACGACCGTATACCGCACGAATTTTTATATTTTTTTCCTTTTGTTTTTAAAAAAGGGTAATAACTTTTTTATTTTTGATTCGATTTTTATAAAATTTATATCAACATTTTTTATTTTTTTTATGATCTTTCAAATGAGACCAATATTGCCTATGTAATTTTAACATATTAACATTTATGTGTAAAATATGTAACTTTACGTGTTAAAATATGTAACTCACGTTCAGTCAGGCCAAATGCAACTCGTGTGTATAAACATGTATCTCTACGTGTAACAATATGTAACTTTACGTAAAAAAATATGTAACTCGCGTTCAGACAGGTCAAATGCAACTCGTGTGTATAAATATGTAACTCACGTGTATAAATATTTAACTTTACGTGTAAATATATGTAAGTCACGTTCATGCATGTCAAATGCAACTCATGTTTATATATATGTAACTCACTTTTAAAAAGATGTAACTTGCTTATAAAAAGATGTAACTTGTTTATAAAAAGATGTAATTTGCTTATAAAAAGATGTAACTCGCTCATAAAAAGATGTAACTCAATGTATTATCAAATGTAACTGAGGCCACTGATCCACTCCCAAACAGATTCAATCTTCTATTTCACAAACCTATCATCTCCCAAACAGATTCGATTTTCCTTATAATCCAATACTCATTAATATAATAGTTCGATAATTTCTTAAAATTACATAAGCAATATTGGTCTCATTTGAAAGATCATGAAAAATAAAAAATGTTGATATAAATTTTATAAAAATCGGATCAAAAATAAAAAAGTTATTATCAATTTTTAACAACAAAAGCAAAAAAAAAGGGGAGGGGGGGAAGCTGCGTCGTTTTGCAACCGGGCGCACCATCCTCATGGTGCGCCGGTTGCACGGTATAATTTGCCGAGCTGGGAACAAAGAGAACGAGAGACAAATAAGAAATGAAAAAAAGAGAGAGAAATGGAACAGGCAAAAATTGCCATGTGGCCTACCACATGTGCAGCTTACCGGGAGATTGATTGGTGACCTGCTAAATATACTCAATTGAACATTTTTTAAGAGTTCAAGGTAGGCATGGACCGGTTCCGGTTCGGGCCCGGCCGAGCCTCGGTTCAAAAAGGGGAGGCCCGGAACCGGCCCGGGCCGGGCCGGGCCTCGATTCTGTGTTTTTTTTGGCTTTTCCTAGTTAATCCTCAACCCTCCCCCTCACCCCCAAACCAACTCAAATGGCCCAAAATACTCAGCCCAACCCAAAAACTTAAAAAAAAATTCAAAAACAAAAACAAAAAAAAATTGCCCGGCCCGGCCCCAAACCGGCCGGGCCGGTTGGCCCGAACCGGGTCCGGAACCGGTTCACCGGGTCGGGCCGGCCCGCACAGTAGCGGGCCGGTCCGGTTCCGGGCCGGTTGGCCCGGCCCGAGTCCACCCCTAGTTCAAGGATATAATTGGGTGTTTTTAAAGTACGAGGACTAAATCGACCTTTCGTAAATAGAAGGGCGTAATTGACGATTTTCCCTAAAAAATACTAGTAATAACTATGATATGGAACACTTGAACCTAGTTTAATTACCTTTTTAGCAATCTCGGATGCTCTACATCCTCCAGAAGACCGAAACTATAACTTTATTAACTTTATTATAACTTTATTTTAGTTTAACGTAAACTTTTCAATCTTGCAATCCCATCTCTTAAATTTTTGTACCGTTAAAAATGCCGTATGCTAAAAGGTGAGTTAATTATTTAGGAATCGAATAGTACCAAAGAACTGTCTCGAACAGTACTGAACCGTACTAAAAATTGGTACGAAACATGACAGGTTCTATATATGTTCGGGACGGTACCGGTTCTTTGGTTTTTAAAAGAATTGTACTTTGGGACGAGACAAGTTCTTTGAAATAACCATCCTGCACTGTCCCATGCTCACCCCTAGTGATTAACGCGATCATATATCCATTGCCCCGATCAAATGATGTGTCATTCAGTTGTTGAATGATAAACAAGGCCAATCAATATCATGAGATTGGTGTATTCTAAATCAAGGAAGATAAAGGTAGACATACCCCTCACATAAGCATATTGTTAGATTTCACATACAGGATTAGTTATGTTGTGTTAGGTCAATAAAATTTTGCAGAATTCTTATTATTGTAAGTAGCTAAATGATAACAAATGGAAACTGGTTAAATACTTAAATCCTTGCTTAACCCTCCCTTGCACATCAAGTTCATTAAATTGCACTTTGACATATGTTGAACAAGCCTTGTCAAGATCTATGCCAAAAAAAGGTGTAATAACTAAATATAAGTATAATAAAACTCACTTCCAACTGTATTATGATGAGCTACAAACTTATAGAAATAAATAAAATCAAATATATATACCTGGAATGAAAATTTTAGTGAAGAATTTGAGCATGTCGTAGTTTAACACTAGTGCCATGCTAAACTAAGCTTAAGCAGTGATGCCTTTGTGTGTCACAGTACCTCAGATTGCACATCATACACAAACTGCAAAAACATTAGGATAAAAACTTGAAAGTGTGGAGCATAAATTACAATAAGATTACAACAAACAATCATCTTGCAAATGTAGGGCAATGTTCAAGGTAAATTGAACATTGAACCATGATAATGCAAGCTATGACAATATCTATGAACAAATATATCTGATACTCTGCTTATACCGTTAGGACAATGCCCGAACTATAAAGGATCAGAGCCAAAGCCAAAATGCCATTGAAATTTAACCCTCTTTTCATAGTAATAAGTACTACATAATTGTTTTGAGATAATAGTGGACTTTAAAGTTGAAAGTATGGGTACTTTAGAATTTCAAAATATACCTCCTTAATTTCAGAAAGCTGCAACTGACTCTCTGAGCCAACGAGTGTTACATACCTAAACATTCAAGTCAAGAACTTGATGCAATCTTCTTCAGCTTTTCCTTCATTGAAACAAACCAAAAGAGAAATGCACAACAAATTAGCAAACCAAATACACTTTGGGTTTGTTTGGAATGAGGGGATGGAAACAATTGGCCGAAAATTGTAAACAAAAGAGTCTAAACTAATTATAAAGTATAAACATCTCTCTGAATATTAAGGCATCACGAATACTCACCACAAATTCTTCTTCAAAACTGAAGCAGCCATTATCAAGTTGTAGTGGTAGGAATACTAGTTCCTGCATCAACATAAATGCAATGTGGGTGGTAAGCATTTGAGTGCCACTGCGCGTTTGAGACTAAAACCACCACCAATGATCAAAGCAACTTACATTATGGGAGGCAGGATCACCAGGATGCATGGCCTTAACAGACATTTGTGAAAGAAAATTGCACTTCTGATTAATGTTTTGACTACCCACTAGAGGCACTCCTGAATCAGACCTCATTATTCATTCTAATAAGGCCCGCACTCTGGCACCATTCAAATCATGTAGAAAATACACCATTCTACATCATAGAAAATACACCAGTGACAATTTGGGCAGTCTGATAATGACAATTCATAGAAAGGTTTATTATTTCAAAAGAGATTCAACATACATCGTTGATGGTAAACTTTTCTGGTTTGTGCAGAGATGGTAACAGCCACTCTATAAAATAAGTAGGTCGGCTTTTGTTCTTGCAATTATCATCTACGCCTAAAAATCAGAACACTGTAAGATTCATTTTTCAACAATAACAATGGAAATTGGCAGAACAAGAAAAATTTACATGCCAAATATTTTTAAGCAAACCTGAGGTGTACACAAGCATTCTGTGAGAAACAAAAGACTGCAACAATCAGTAAGGTATGCCTATTAGCTTTAGTTCCGTACAAAACCAATTAATGCTAAGTAAAGAAACATGTCCAAAAGCTATAAGAGTGAATGCCTGTTTGGGACTGTCATAATTTATGAAAGTGTGTGTATGATTTTTGAAAAAAGTGGGGGGTACTGTAGCAGTAATATGCACTATAACTATGGGTAGGTTTTTTCCATACACGGAAATGAGGCAAAAAAAAATGGGACAAGTATTTTGGAAAGGAGGGAGTATTATATAGAGTAGTTTATTAGCACTTCCATGCACAACATGAGCATGTAATGCAAAGTTCGTTTTTATGTAATTTAGGAGAAATATTTTGTTTCGGGGTAACTCCAAGTTAATAATAAGAATTACCAAGATCCACCCTGCATTCATTAATATAGCACTCCAAAATGCTAGACAAGCAAGACAGCTTAAACAGACACAAAAAACTTGCTTCTTTAAGTAGGAGGCCTATGGTTCCAAATGTGTTGGGGGCTCATTTACCAGTGTTGGCTTTGATTAGCTAGCACATTGGTCAAAAGAACCGAACATTATAAGATTATCTTATTAAGGGGAAATATGATGCGTATATATCCTCAAGATGCTTACGAAAGCAGTAAAAGGATCATTACCTGCCAGACTAAAGGCATATATTCACGATATGGTAGAATTTGATTATTCCATCTTTCAACATTCCTGTTCAAAGAGTTCAAAGATCGTATTGTAAAGAGAAATATATTTTTCCCTAAGTAACACTCTTAACAAATTAATGGAGATCTTGATTCAAATAAGTTGTAAATGCATGTCTGAATTTATTAGACCATCATCAAATGAAGTGAACATAATCCTGAAAGCTATTTTAGAAATAAAAATAACACTAAAACTACCAAACTTATGCTAGGCTGCTAGCAAGGGCATAATACTCCCTCCTGCCAATAAGCTCATACCTGTATATATAAATGTATATATACTAAATGTAGCGGGCCAGGCTTATTGGTCCGAACGGGCCTACACCACAACCCAAGCCCGCCCATATCTTATTGCGGTCCGGGCGGGCAAATAAATATGCCCAAGCCCTCCCATTTGAGCGGGCGGGCCGGGCGGGCCAGCCTGGTTTTGTACAGGTGTAATGCTAGCAAGGGCATAATACTCCCTCCTGCCAATAAGCTCATACCTGATTGTAGTACTAACATGTGCATGGTCTGCCGTGCCCTCTATTTGTATATTTCATTGTATTCACTTTCTAATCTGTTGTTCCAATTATGAAATTCTAGCACATTTACTTCATATATTTTCTTATATAAATTACATTTATTTATTTGGCTCTTGGGCGCAAATCCCATAGATGGATAGGCTACACCGTACCTCTTAAGTCCTAGCCAAAAGATTGTGGTCCAACCTAATAACACCTTTTATGCTATCCCTGCTGCATCATTGTCAGTTAAATAATTGCTGAACAAATTGCTTCTATTGAATCATGTGACTTAACTTGGTTTCTATTACACATATGAATAACTAACCGTGTGTCCTTATGCACTACGTAGTACTCCCTCCGTCCCTTAAAACTTTGCCAACTTTTCTTTTTTGGATGTCCCACTAACTTTGCCACTTTCTCTTTTAAGTAAAGAATTTGTGGTTCCAGTTAATTCTCTCTCCTAGTTAATTATCTCTCCTCTGCACAAATCTCAACCACACAGTTTTTACTTTATTAATCCTCGTGCCGGTCAATAAAGTGGTTGATATTTGATATTGGCACAATTGTTAATAAAGTGGTTGAAAAAGTAAAAGTTGTGGTTGATATTTGAGTATAATGAAGTGAAATGTTGGGGACCACATATTTCTTTCCAAAAAGGGAAATGCGACACTTATTTTGGGACAACGCAAAAAGGAAAGTAAGACGGGTAAAATGGGACAGAGGGAGTAATAAATATACATACACTTCTGAATCCAACTAATATCACTCTACATTAAAATCATTGATTATACAAATGTTCAATCAATAATTCAAAGGTTTGCCATCTTTACAAAATTAATTTAAGCAAGAAAAAATGTGTGTCCTCTTAAGTCGTACCTTACTACTTCAGTTGATGTGTACTTATCCTCCAAATTCACAGTTTTGGTACTAAGGACAAGCATTGGATGAGCCAGAAGAATCTTTTGAATTTCTTGAACCACAGCTTCTGATACTCCTTGAAGAGAGAGACTTTTTCTAGTAAATAAAAAACAAAGTTGCTAAATCATTAAAGAAAAAATCTTTATAGAAACATAAATTGAAAAGAAGAATTACAATATAAGATAAAGTAATGTAGTAGTAGCAGAATTAATATTGAAATGAGTTCCACCATTTCAAAAAGTTCCAGAAGCTTTAGGATACATCACTTTGGCAAGATGATTGCATGAATGGGAAACTTTTTTATTTAGGTATTCAACATTATTTCAACTTAGAGAGCGAGAACTACTGGGGCAAAAAGGAACACACCACACACCAGAGGATACGAAGTTAAGCACTTAGGTCATGGATTTATTCAATTAAATACATCAGGAATTAATGTAGGTTACTCAAGCTTCACTTTGAAATGACAGTAAAAAGAGCCATTGAGAAAGTATGGAATGAAAGATAATTACTGTTTACGATATTCTTTCTCTCTTCATTATTGCTTTGCCACTATGGTTTTGCATGAATTAGTTAGTGTTAATTAATTTAACCAAATTATTAGCACAATAAATTTAATGCCACCGGTCCAACCTAGTTGGAATTAAGGTTCTGATAAATGATAATGATGATTTATTTAGTGAGAAGCAAGAATTGAAAGTATGACATTATAGCCAGATAACTTGGTGTTTAACTATCACAAAACACATAACTGCAACTACAAAAGCATTGTATTATTAAGTCCCTGATCCACTAACATAAACCAATAAATGAAATATGTACAAAGGCATTTGGACTGTTATAATAGCTATCTGCATATTATTCTATGAGCACCCTTGAGTGGTAATGGTGGTTTTAGAGGGTGGGGTGATTTACATGAGTCAAAATCCATGTTCTGTTGTAATTACCTGTTGCTGCTCCCATGTGGAATGAATGCAAGAGCCCGATCCATCCAGTGAAAAGCTCCAATACTGATTTAAAAAAATGGTGATAAATGTGAACTTCATTGAGCAAACTATGAAGCAATTGTACTTTAAACCCATGTTTTCTGTTGAAGCCTTATGCTCCTAGGTTGAGCCAAACATGTAATAAAAAACTAGGAACCATTGATAAGGTTACCCAAAAATTTGACATAAAAAACTACCTAAGTCAAATACTCCCTCCGTTCCTAAAAATTCTTCCCGGTTTGACTTGGCACGCTTATTAAGAAAGTGAAATAAAGTGGAAATGTATGGTTGTGGTTGTGTGAGAAAAATGTAAAATAAATGTGAGCCACACAAATTGTCCAAAATGGGAAAGTGGGAAGTATTTTTCGGAACAGCCCAAAAAGGAAAGTGGGAAGTATTTTTGGGAACGGAGGGAGTATGTACATACCAAGTACAATTCGAGAGAACTCCTAAGATCAAAAGACAAAATGAAGAAATCTAGGGAATGTAATATTAGGCGACGAGACTAGAGAAAACCTGTCAATAATCAGCAAATAAGCACCAACACCATGCACCTCTTTTCCCTTTTGAAGTTGATTGTGCATAGTCTACAATGAATAAGGAGGGATGAAAAGAATGAGTATTATATGTCAGATAATGCATCAAGTATAATACATATTACATCAAATATAAAGATGCATCTCAGTTACACAAACTCCTTGAGTTCCACATTCCCTAAAACACTCAAGAGGAAAAGACACACAGAGGAAAAATCTCGTGAAAGAAAAAATTGGAGAAATTTGAAAGGAAATAAAATATTGAAGAAAACAAAACATTGGTTCAAGCTCAGTAGATTTATTTTTTATAATTGTTCTAATACATAGATATTTATTTCTTTATAAAAATACTAAGCAATCTAAACATACGCAAAAAACTATTAATCAAATTACATATTGCTTGGCATTCTCCGAAACCAACATAAGAAAATAAATTTAATATTTTCTAGCATACTTTTCTTTCCCTAGCATTTTCCGGAACCAAAGATAGCCTAAGAGAAGCAGAAATCAGTGAAATGCAGAAAGCCATACTAAAAATTACACAGCTACAACTTGGTGAAAACCAAGAAATAGAAGACTGAGTAAAGAATAAAAGATAACTTGAGAGTTATCACATGCAAAGATAAAACTGAAGTTATAATGTTGTAAGCAGGAAACAACTAACCTTAAGTGTAGCCAGAAACTGGATACTATCATAACAACGGACGTACATGAAACGTCTCATGCTTTCTACAACTAAATCATTTTCATACATGGCATCCGCCCCTCCTTTTAGACTTTGCATACTCTTTCCTGATAACATAAAGGCCAAGCGTGACTATATCAACCAGATTAAAGCATAATTTTTTATCATCCCGCAGAAAATTGTCCTCAAAAGATTTCTTACCAACAGTTCATTTTAGTAGGCTTATACAGCAGCAGTAGTAATAAAAATCTTAAGTCAAATACCATGAACTGAAAGACACAACTACAATTAATGCAGTAATCCCCAATCACAGCTTCGCGTTAACTTTACTGGAATTGAGTATAGTCAATTACCTTTGGCTTCTAGTATACGCTGCTTCAGAGAACGTGAAAGGCTCAAAACATCAAAGCGACAATCCAAGTCGATAAACATGACTAAGCGCTCCAAACCTCCATATTGCACGCCCTTCCATTCCTTGGGCAGAATGCAATTGATTGAAGCCTGAAATGCACTTGATCTTATCAGAATAACTCTTGCGCTTGGATTAATGTAATGGTCTCGTAAAAATATACACAGATATGGACAGCGTCATTGCCTGTATGAGAATCTGGGTTTTGGCTGAAGGCGAAGGGCCGACTATCTCGACTACGTTGCCAGCACGGAGGGGAATGCGGTGAAAAGGAGGTGGAAGAGGCAAGAAAGGTCGTTCCGTGAGAACCCTACACAGGTACTGCTTTGCGGTTTCATCTGTTTCAATCCAATCTCTCGCCGATGACATCTTCTCTCGGCTGAATAATTTCTCACCGGTTTCGCGGCAACCAGAGCTTCGGGCTTTCAGGTGCAATTTTTCCACGGCAACGAGTCAATAAGAAGTCAAATTTGGATACCTGATACCGTACCAAATTTACAGAAGTTTATATACCTTTAACGTACCAAATTTACCGAAGATTATATACCTTAAAACTTACTTTACGGAAGTTTCCGTATACGATATCGGGTGTATCGGTAATTACCGTGCATGTCTTACGATACAACAAATTATCATACATTAACAAAACATACTAAATCGGTGTTACTAGCGACATTTTTAATTCATTACTAAAATGTTACAAAATACAATTAATAATCTATTGATGTCATATTCAATATTGAACAATAATTATTATTAGTATATTTAAGCAGTTCAACGTGTCACATATTAAAAAATAGGTAGTAACACATTCTCATAAAATAACTTGAACAATATAGATATAATTAAATGAATATCAAAATAAATAAAATTATTCAAACAACATGGATACAAAATCATCTATCTCTAATATGATATAGTGTATTTAGTCATTTTTTAATTTTAAAAAATATTTGAAATAGACTTTCAGACAAAATTGTATGCCTTGACTAAGAGGGGTGTATTGTATTAGGAATTAGTGGCAAAATTTTAAAAGTTCATGTATTTTAAAAATTTAGGTGTATTCAATGTGGACTTTTAAAAGTCTACAAAAGTCTAGGTGTATTCAATGTAGACTTTTAAAAGTCTATAAAAGTCTAGGCATATTCAAAGTTCCGTTCATTCTTATGGATTTCTAAAATCATGGATTCTCGTGGACTTTTAACTCATTTTTAGTACATTAATTCTCTTCGATTGTCTCTTCTCCTCACTAAAGATTTCCGTGGACTTTTCTTATATCGGTTTTTCATCTCGTCCCCCACCTCACCCCGCCAACTCTCCTCTTCTTTAGCCAAGTCACTCATTCCCCTTCGATCATTCTTCTTCAGCCTAGCTCACTCCACCCCTCTCCTTCCATTCTTTTTCTTCTTCAGCTTGCCTCACCCCCCTTGATTCGTTAATCCCATACTGGTTCTATTCTAGAAGTTTCTAGAAGAACTGATATAAGAATCGATAATATTACATTAGTGCAATTCTGGTACGTCGTCACTTAACCATTAAGAAAATAAATATTTTAACTATTACTTTCTTTCATCGTTAAATCGCTAACACATTTAAATATAATTTCAAATTAATAAATATATGACCGTAAATAAGTACACAAAATTTTACAAGATAGAAATGAAAAGAAAACAATTATTAAGAAGATAAACTCGATTGCAATTGTGCTTGTACCACATGTAGCAATGAGTGTAACGATTAATGTTCTTACTCATTAATAAAATGACCAAAATTCTTGAGCATTCTTGAAACTTTGAGTTTTTTTAATAAAAATAATTTTGGATTCTTATGCTTCATTTATTCTTGTAGAACTTTGTGTTGCTATATGAATTACATTTATTTCATTTATTTATTTATTTATTTATTTATTTATTTATTTGTTTGTTTGTTTGTTTGTCTATTTGTTTCTTATCATACTCTGTATTATACAGAGGAAATTATTCAGGGTAGGACTAAAACATACAGAGTAGCATTCTTTTTAAAGTATGATCATATGTTTGATTTTCCTTAAATAGGACTAAATATTACATATTCACCCCTAATTTAATTAATTAATATAAGTAATTGTCCATAATTCCCTTGCACCGAGAACATCTGTGCGGGGATATCTAAACTATTCAGGTAGTTTAGGGCGACATGAATATGACAGAATATCTACAGTTTCTCATCTCGAACCAGCAAATCTTGGTCCAATCTGTTGGATAGCCCAGGACAGCACCTCCTGAGTCGCCAACTCGGCATCGGTCAATGCCGGGGCCGGCTGGGATTCTCCCTGGGAATAAGGAATCGATCCTAAACGTCTTTGGTTCCCGGCTTTGATAGCTTGAAAGCAAAGGTGGACTTTGTTGGTGGTGGACCAGTCCGATGATGACAGCGGGGAACTCAAGTGACGGAGGCGGACGGGCAGATCGGTAGCGGCGATCTAGGTGAAAATTTCGACAACCAGCAGTGGTGGTTCCGCATTTAAAAGTCTATGGACTTTTTGAAAGTCAATAAACTTATCCATGGATTTAAAAGTCCATAGAATTCATTCATAAAAAAGTCTATGGATTTAAAAGTCCATTGACTTTTTTAAAAGTCCACGGATTAAAAAAAATCCACCACAATCCATATTCAATACATCCCCCTAAGTAGATCCCTATGTAGATACATCTGGCACATAAATGTATCCCTCTTCACTCGTCAGCTACTCAGCGGTTCAGTCATCGCGACGTACAAGCTCATGCAACAAGATGGACTAGTTTCTGAACATTAGCATTACTCATGAGTCATTATGCTTATTTGTTTGAAAGTTACGTAGTAGAAGCCTAAGCTAAAAGCTTATAGCGGGTTTGGGGAATTGCGCCTTTCTTTTTGTATTTTAGTATGTGCAACCAACCTACATATTAATTTTGGGCTTCAAAATTGTAATGGACTTTTACAATATTTTAGAATTTAAAGTAATTGTTGGGTATGAAGCCGGTACAGTATTGTACCGGTATACCGCGGTATTTGAAAACATTTACCGTTACTGTACCAAAATAAATCGGTATGGTATGATACCGTACCGAAAATGATGGTATACCAATATTCCGGTATTTTTCGGTATGTTTCGGTACGATAAGTGCGGTATACCGATTTTTCGGTATTTTTGCCCACCCCTAAGTAGGGGTGAATTCGGGTCGGGCCGGGTCCGGGTCCGGGTCGGGCCTAGGCCCGAGCGTGCCGGCGGTTCAGGATTGGTGGACCCGGGACCGGCCCGGGTAGCCACCGAGCCCGGTCCGGGTCTCGGCCTCCGGTTTGGGTATTTTTTTGCTTTCCTAACCCCCCCCCCCACCCTCCCAAACCCCCAAACCCCTCCTAACCATCAAGCCCAACCCGGGTGGAACCCCCAAAAAAAAAACAATTTGGCCCGGACCCGGGCCCGACCCGGCCTGGCCGGTTCGCCAAATGTGAGACCCGAGCCCGGACACGCCCTACCCCTCAAGCCTAGGCCCGACCCGGACCTGAGAACCGGACCAGTCCTGGTCCTGCACAGTAGCGGGCCGGCCCGGGCCGGTCCACAGGCGGGGTCACCCGACCCGAGTCCACCACTACCCCTAAGTATTTTATAGGCACTATTCACATGCCAAGTATACATAACCATGCACGCAACAAGTAATTAGCTAGGAGTGGACTCGGGCCAGGCCAACCGGCCCGGAACCGGACCGGCCCACTACTGTGCGGGCTCGGACTGGCCCGGTGAACCCGTTGGTGCTCAGTTCGGGCCACCCGGCCCGGTGAGGTAGGCGGTTCGGGCCCGGGCCTCCTAAATCGTGAACCGGTCCGGCCGGTTCGGGCCCAGTCCGGGCCATTTTTTTTGCTTTATTTTTTATTTTTTTTTAAGTTTTTGGGTTGGGCTGGGTATGATGGGCCATTTGAGGTGGTTTGGGGTAGTTTGGGGTGAGGGGGGAGGGTTGGGGGTTAATTAGGAAAAGCCAAAAAAAATAAATACAAGAACCGAGGCCCGGCCCGGCTCGGACCGGACCCGGGATTACCCGTGCCGGTTCCGGCCCAGCCCGGACCGGACCCGGGGTTACTCGGGCCTCCCCTTTCATGAACCGAGGCCCGGCCGAGCACAGGCCCGAACCGGGCCCGAACCGGAACCGGTCCACCCCTATAATTAGCTGAATCATCCCAATACTTGGACAGTTTTGACCAAAACAAACAAAATAGTAAGTTTGCGAAGAATTGGGATCGCACCAACATATATGTACATAAATATGGACTTCGTTCCCCTAGCCGGCCATGCTAAAAAACGACCGAACAAATACCTACATATAAGTTAGGAGAAAAGAGGAAGAGAGAGCACATCTGCACGCCACCGGAACGCTGGACGCCACTGACGAAGAAGAGGACCATCCTCGCTGGACTTTTGGATACCCCTAGATACAGTTGACTTACCAATATCCATAGAGGATATTGTGTACCTGTACCGGAGTAAATTTATGAATGGAGTGCAAAGTTAAAGGATTTTTAAGTGGAATGGGGTGCAAAATCAAAGTTTTTTTCAAACTAGGATACAAAGTCCAATATCGCTCAAAAAGTGGGGTGCAAAGTCAAATTCTTCCTTAAAATTTCCATAGCAAATTAAAGCTTCACTTTTTTTTAATGAACGTATCTGTGAAAATGATTTTGCATCAGATGAGATTCCAAATTGTATAAAATATTAGACTAAAGAAATTTTCTCTCTTAGCAGGCCAATTGTTTTAGGTTAATTAGATAGGTCCTTAATGCATTCTACTTATTACTAATTAATACTCCGTAGTTTTAACAATCATCAAAACCATTGTGCATTTTTTTTAAATTTAGGCTAACTTTCAACCTCTTTTGTACAACGATTTTAAGGTTTAGGTGGAATTTGACTCTGCACTTCACTTTTCGAGTGATATTGATTGGATTTTACATCCATTTTCTGAATCATTAATTTGTGCACCCTATTTAATATAAAATCATTTGACTTTGCACCATCATTTCTTCACAATTTCGGGGTGTAAACTCCAATGTCACCCAAAAAATGAGGTGCAAATTCAAATTCCCCATAAAGTTTATATGTATGACTTCTAATCTAAATATTTCTAAAACTAATGAAATAGATTTGAATAACTTTTGTTAGGCAATCCAAATAATGATACAATTATACAAAGAAAATATTAACTTTAATAAATGTTTATCATAGCTAGGCAACTTGTTTGAACAAATACACCCTTCTCGAGCAGCAGCCTCTTCTTCAGCTCACGGTGTCCGGAGGAACTCCGTTTCTGTTGTGACGAACAGTCCGGCCGGCTATTTCGTCTCTTGAGCAGATTTCATAAATTCTGCTTTTTTGTGTATTTTCTGGTTAATTTCTACTAAAGTGATGTGACAAACAATAGAGACTCTTAATGAAAGCATCAATGTTGGTCCAAAATAAGACGCTAGTAGGCTTTTAAGAAAGTTACGTTAGACACTCAAGCAGGAATTCGGCATGGACCGGGCCCGGCTCGGTTCAAACCGAGCTTTTTTTCAAGATGTTGGGCCCGGAACCGGCCCGGGTTGATACCGGGTCCGGTTCAATGTAATTTTTTTTGACTTTCTAATTAAATAATTAATCCCCGACCCCCCCCCCCCCTCACCCCCACCTCCCAAACCCCCCCAAAACACCCAGCCCTACCCAAGGAAAAGGAAAAAAATTGAAAAAACAAAAAAATGGACCGGGCCGGTTCATGAAATATAGGGCCTGAGCCCGGCCCGCCCAAACCGCCCAAAACGTGCTAAAGCCCAGAACCGCCACTCCCCAACCGGGCCGGGCCGGGCCCGAACAGTACCGGGACGGTTCAGCCCGGTTGAGTCCACCCCTAGCAGGAATTAAGAAAGTAGTACGGAAATGGAAAGATGCTAAAGAGTTTGATAGTCAGAAATAGCATATCTTTGTTTGGAATTCGACTTGCCTTTTATAGGCATTTACAAATCGTAACCGCTATCAATAATAATGACGAATTAATTACATCATTAATACGAAATTAAACACATAATTAAATAGCATATTAAATGCTTGACCTTACTCTTCATGATTGGCAGAATGGTAGGTCGGCCAAGCTGGCAAGCTACCGGTTGGGCTGGTAGGCAAGCCCCATGCTTGGACATGGGCCTACTAGCTCAAGTCGTGAACTTGGACTCACGGATCCAAATTCAGGGCTTGGGCCGATTAGGCTATGGACAAGCTAGATCTTGGGCGCCACTGATTTTTCCGTTTCACTTCTATTTTATTAGTACTGTTATTATTGTAACATTGTTTAATCCAGTTCATGGTGGCAAATTATATCCTACACCCGGGTGTACTTTTACACCCGGTTTTTTTGTAATTAGGAGAAAGTCTGAGGCTAATAAATAGGCTAATGCCCCCCTCTTTTTTTTCTTCCGCTGCCTTCCAATTTTCTTTCTTTTCTTGCGCCGTCTTCCACTTTTCCTTCTTTTCTTCCGCCGCCTTCCACATTTCCTTTCTTTCTTCCGCCGTCATCAATTCTTATCGTTGTTTACTTTTTGTTTTTTTTTGTTTTTTATTTTCTTTACTTTTTTTTAGTGGTTCTGATTGTTAGGTTTTTTGTCTTTTTGTGTTTTATTTTCTTTACTTTTTTTAGTGGTTGATTTCACTTTCTTTGGGTTTGTCTTTTTCTTTTACTTTCTTTACTTATTTTCTTTGTTTTTTACTTCTTTTCCTTTCTTTATTTGTTTTACCTCTTTCTCTTTTTCATATATTATACCGAGCACATTAGAAATGAGTTTTACCTTAAACTGAAATGAGTAAAACGCTTAAAAAAATGAACATACACAAATGAACTTTTCAATTTTTGAATACTCATTTTGTAAATTATGTATGTGCATTTAGTATCTCTCTTATGCTCATTTTTAAAATGTTTTAGCAATGCACATTTCAAAAGTCTCATATTACATTACATTTATATAATAGTTGATTATAAACACGAGACAACAAATCATGATACTCAATCACATATTCTAATACTCAATAACGGAGGCTTGATGCTCACTGAAAGTGAATTAGAAGTTATGAAGCAGAAATCACGATGCTCGATATTAGACTCTTAATACTCAATAGAATAGGTCGGATGCTCATTAAAAGTTCATTAATACTCATTTTACATAAACTGTGATTTTCATATCGAGATATGAGTTTTGATGCTCAATGAAAATGTCGTGATGTTCAACTAACAAACTTTACGATTTTCTTATCAATGCGCATTTCGTAAGTTACATATGCTTATTTGGTATGATGTTATGCTCATTTTAAAATGTTGTGTCAATGTATATTTCAAAAGTATCATATGACATTATACTATCATATTGAAATTAATAAGAGTCTATTATAGATATAATTTAATAATTTCTTATAAAAGAAAAAATAAGAATAAGAAAAAAAATTAGAAGATACTACCTCCGTAACACAAAGATCTTCCCATTTTGACTTTTCACGGTCTTCTAAGTTGAACTTTGACTCTAAATATCTATGTATCTATATTTATAAAATTCATAATAAATTAACATTCAAATAATATGTTTTACAATGAGGTATGTGAAAGAAATTTTTAATCATAACATAATATGAGTTTTGAATAATTAATGGTCAAAGTTTATAAAGTTTGACCCAAAAGAGTCAAACTGGGAAGATTCTAGGGTTACGGAGGTAGTATGAAGCAGGGATCGTGAAACTCATTGTTAGCCTCTTACATACTCAAAAAGATAGGTCAGATGCTCATTACAATTACATTATTGCTCATTTAGCGAAAGCCGTGAATTTTCGCTTAAATTACAAATATGCCACCGAACTTTTTTTGACCTACATTAATGATTGGGCCGTCTTTCTTACTTGAGCCGGGTGTACGTACATGTTTCTATTTTGGATGAAAGGTAATTGTATTAACACCCAAAAATAACATCATACAGTGTGTCCAAGAAATCAGAAATCGACAATCTAAGCTAGAATAAACTAACCTAGATATAATCATATAAACGTCCCAAAAAAGTCATGTTTCTAAGGATCAGGATTGGTTCCTCCTGGCCAAGTAATGTTACCAAAAGTCTTGCATAAAACAATATTTCTAGGCTTATCCCTTTCATCTACGATTTAATAAACTTGCAAAGATAAGAGGACATGTACATTGTACGAAACCTCTTAAACAACTAGACTAAAGGAAAACGCACATAAAAAGTGATCAGTGTGTCTATTGCTTCCGCCCTTTTGCCTCCAGTGAATATCATCCCTATAACACCCAAGAATAATAAAGTTAACAGACTCGTTGGTCATAATAATTCATCGGGTAAGTCCAAGAGATGAATCATTCCTTCTCTGTTTCATTATTTCAGAAAGACAAACCCTTCTCTAGTCTTCTTTCTCCCCAGAGCGTTGTGTATCTCTAGCATCTGGCTCGGACGTGGTTGTATTTCCTGCCTCTTCTCTTGTGCCAACCCTCAAGGGCTCCTCCTTTAGGGATTGAATGATCATCACCACACAAACCAAAAATACAACAATGGTAACCGACCCAATCCCAATCATTGAATTTACAAAGCTCATGAAAGAAGGCCCGTTTATGCGTTTCTGTATAACATTTCCTTCCCTAAATCCTCCAAGAAAGCGTGTGATATGGGATCCCTGATCATCCTCGCCGATGCTCTCTGAGCCAATGACCTATTCAAGTTCATGGCAAGAGTAAGGAGACACAGAGTACAAAAAAACATTTAATCATCATGTCACAGAAAAATAAAAATACAGTGAATTGTTTAAGCCTTCACACATGTTTAACTTCCCCAAAAGGTTCTGTCAAAGTAACATATTTACATACATATAACATACTCAAAGGTAATCCACTAAGTCACAAAAATTAAGTGCAAAACTGCCCAAATAAGCCACCCCAGGAACAAACTTCCTTGTGGTCTCAATTTTTCATTAAAGACAACTATGGTTTGTTTGTAGCGCAGAAATTACTAGGAGAAAAAATATGAAGCAAAAAAATCGAGTATACATATACAATGTTTATTTAAAACTAATCATATTTCACTTTCTGGTGAATTCCCAAGGTCAAGCCAAACATAAGAAATTAACTTTTCTCGAGAAAAATACCATTTCCCTAACATTTTCCGTGATCTAAGAGATACACTACTTCAAGGTAATGCGTTGCTAAGAACTACGAAAGCCATGTATAGTGTCAGAGTGGGGTGTCTATGAGTGGTAATTTTATAAGCAGAAACCGGTTACAAGTGGAAACTTCAAGCTATCAAGCGGGGGGGGGGGGGGGGGGGGGGGTCATTACTTTTATTGCATCTTTTCAATGAAGTGAGGATTCTCCTTTTTCCTATTTTACTTGCAGCATTAAAAAGTATAAAATATATCAAGGCTATAGATGCCTACGGGCTTAAAGAGGATGTTTATCTAAAATGGTTAAGGTGACTGACTTTGGTTTACTTTTTCCTTTTGTAGTGATAAGTTATATATCCCACCTGACTAGTTACATTAAACGCGTAATGTCAGGCATCTCTGTTATAAGCTTATAGAGCCGTCCAACCTTTCACCAAGCAGTGGAATTCTTCTAAAGAACACATAGGCAGTTAGGGACACTTTAATTTGCCCACATTACCAAATGTGGTAATAAATAAAATTCCTATCGTCTCCTTATATTCACCTGGGGCCCGCATGGGCTTATTACTATCATACTATATACAAAGCAAGGATAAAATTTTGTACAGTATCAGTGTTCCCACTAAAAGGAGTTCATATAAAGCCTTACAACATCGGAAAAATCCTCAATTATTCAAAAAAGAATAATAAACTACATTCTGTTACTCTATTCTTTTTTTAGGGTAACTGTTACTCTATTCTATTTCACTTCATGCATGTCAATTCTAATACATTAGAAACGACATCCTATATCTCGAGACATGTGCTAAGCTTGAAAAGGAAACACTTTTACAACTTCACATGCAAATACATTCAAGTAATAATTATTAAGTTGTGCGACTCGATGTCATGAAAGGCTGGTTTAACGATTTGTTTTAAACCATTGCCCACTATATATACTTGTTCCATGTCATGAAGGGCTGCTTTAACCTCTGCGGTGTCTTTGAACAAACATAAATTGTTTACAATCAGTCACAATTATACTATGTATGTGATTGTGTTAAAGGTTACCATTCGTAGTATAGTCTAATTTATTTAGAGATAACCCCATGAGATACGAATCATACGACATTATTGTAGAGTATCCAAATTTTGTAGAATTTTATTTAGGCATATTTTTAAATAAATGTACTAATTTTGCCTAATTTAGAATCATACGAATCATACGACATTATTCCGCGTAAGCAACATTGCTCTCATTTGGCCTAATTTTTAAATAAATGTACTGTTGTAAAATCAATATGACATTTCATCTCTCCTATATCATTAATTTAATTTTGTATGTTTTGTTTTTTATTACACATTTGAAATTATTTAGTACAATATTTCTCCCGTGCATCACACAGGTGGATTACTAGTATTTGTTAATGTGTGCACGCTAAGTGTGCTTACATGGGTTCCTTAAAAGATCTAAGTGACACCAATATAGCTCACTAGATGAGATTCATGAGAACCAGTGTGCATGACAGTAAGCATTATAAAGGTGAGGTAAATGAAGATGCATGGTAACTTCTTACTTACAGTAAAGTATTCCTCATCTCCATCCCAGATAACCATTTTTGGTAGTGGTGTTTTCTTGTTAACATCAAATGACTCAGCAAAGTCTTGCCATTGCTTGAATCCAACAAAAGCAAAGACCAAATCACGGTTTGCAGATGCAGCAGCCTTTAAGGTTTTAATTAATCCCTTGGACTTCTCCGTTGTCTCGTCATCCATGATTGTGAGGACAATTTTTCTAAGATCATCTTTCATTAATCTTATTGTATCATGATTTATTGGTAAAGCCAAAGGCAGCAAACTCTGTTTGATGTAATCCTCGAGGAATTTCTCTGTAGTACAAAACACAAAGGATTAACAAAGTGCAGCTCTCATCATGTCCAAATTTAGAAACAGAAAGTCTTTTATTTCAAACTTCACAATTTCCATTTTGACTTGCATAGAAAATTGAAGACCACAATCAGCACTTATCATCGAAGCACCATAGGACTACAAAATGAAGTTATAAAAGGCCGTAAATCCTGTAGTTTATGACAGCATAAATGGAATCTCATATCTGTGTCAGGGGCAGAGCCAGGGCACTGGGCCAGACTGGGCCGGTATAAAGAATATTATTGGAAAAAATTTTACACGAAATTTTTTACACTAAATATATTGACATTTTTTAAATTTGGGGTGGACCAGGGCCTAGCCTGGGCACCCCCTAGCTCCGCCCCTGATCTGTGTCTAAGGGTTTCATCCAAAATGGTGCCAAAAGGTTGCCTGATTTTTCAATTTGGTAGCAATATTTAGTTTTCTTTAAGCTTTTTGGCATGATAACTTTAATATGCGCATCAAATTAGTATCTTTTTTCAAATTTTACAAACATTTAGCTGATATAACACCAGGATCTTCAAATAGAGTGCCAGGGACCTTAATTTTGCATGAAATGTGATGTCCTAACAAGCAACAGCTCACTTACATAAAAATCAACTAGGAAATATATTTAGGAAGTCCAATCATTGGAGTTAAGATTTATACTGGATATTAGCCATCCCATAAAGTAATTGCTTTACTCACAAACTACAATGGTAACTAGGAAATCCAATCAATATTTATTAACTCAACTGGCTACATGATTCAACTACACATCATAAAAGGGACGGGGATGAGAAAATAAAAAGATGTGCACAGTTGTGATATGTTCAAGTTTTTAGTATGAATGAAGTTGTATACAATGGAATGGAAAAGCAACAAAAGATTTATATGCTCATCAAATGTGGAAGATAACGGTGAACACAGAAATAAAAGACAATAAGCTAACCTTCAAATGGGCCATAGAAAATGTTCTGTTCATTGTAGCTTGGATGAAGAGCTAGCAAAGCAGGAACCTTATCAAAATCATACATAGCCATGGTTCCATCAGAAAAATCATTTGCAACAGAAAACCACGCTTTCTTCTTATACTGGACAGCCAAATCCAATACCACAGATCGATTCAAACCAAAGCCTATGAATATAGGGAAAAAAGAGCCAGCTTTTTCAATAAAGTCACTAATGGCAGAATCAGAGTCAAGAACAGCCACATCAGTTGCAGCATATTTCATCAAAAACCTAACAAGTAAATCTGATTCCCGTGGTCCATAATAGTCAGTAGGAACTCCATGCAAGAACATCTTTAGTGTGGGATATCCACTGCATTATAACCGAAGAAAAGAAATATTATCAGCATTCTCTTTTGTGCATCTTTAATTCTAGCAATTCAACATTTAATCATTAACTTGCAACATTCCTAGTTGAATTTATCTATTCTTGGAGCAGATCTCAGTTTCCATAGAAATAAATATTGATCTGGTCAAAGTTAAAAGTGATATTTTGGAGTCCACAAGCATCAATCCAATTAGCACTCATGTGTTCTGATGGGAGAGGATATATAGCAAACATACTCGATGTCATATTTAGAAGCAAGACTTCTGTATTTGTCTGCATTTATTTTAGCTATCACTATAGGTTGCTTCAATTCAGCCAGAGCAGGAGCAGCTTTATCCAGCTGCAAATAAACACCTATGCATGTCAGAGTAATTCAAAATTTACCACTGGTTGAACCAATGCTCGAAGCAACATCAACAAAGAATGATAAATGGACTACAAAGCATTCCCAACTTTAAAGTAAGCTATCATGTTTGAGATGCAAATTAGGTCTTATTCACAATACTTATATATATTTGTCAGTTCAAGTTAATCATTTTAACTTCAAATCTAACAAGTCTTGTGACATCACTTCAAATTTCCGGCATAAATAGAGAAAAAAGATTCCGATTTTATTTAATTTCAGAATGGCATGTTTATCTCGTCAATGCATGTTACACTATGACACCTGGTACAAAACTAAAACAGTATAGTTCAATAGAAAGAGGAAAGAGAATGAAAACCTCTGGAGCAAGACGCTTGCAGTGGCCACACCAAGGGGCGTAGAAATCAACAAAGACATGATCGAATGTCGATATGGCAGCGTCGAAGTTGGATTCGTCCAACTCTAATACTGTCCCGTCGATGGAGAACTGAGGATTCTCAGCAGCTAAGATCGCCGGGGATAGGAGATGATAAAAGATGAAGATCGCACTCATCGCAGATGGAAGCATGTTTAGTGCAAATGTTGTTCGCATACTTGATTACCAGCTTTTGTCAAGCACAGCATAGTCTGGTGGCTGCCGGACTCTTTTTGATCTTTTTCTTTCAAAAAAAATACTCCTTATCAAACTTTGTCTATGAAAAACAAGTTTTATGTAATTGATATTGAATTGATAAAATAAGAATAAAATTAAAATAATTCAGAATCATACTGAATTTACTAAATTTGGTATGAGTCGATCTTAATGGGATTTTCCGAAAAAGAAAATAACACTTTTAGTGGGACAAACTGAGTATGTGACTGTATTTATTTTTCTCTCATCTACACAAATATTCATCACACGGTTTTTACTTTATTATTTTACGTGCAAATCAACTTTGTCAAATTTAATGAGAGAGGGAATAATAAATTTGAAAGGCCAAAAAACAATGGCAATTAAAATCTGAAAGGAAAGAAAATATATACTCTGTAAACTATAAGCTCTAGTTAATTAATTACAACTCTTTCACACTATAAAAAATAATGTGTACTTTAATGAAGATTTTTTGGTTTTGTTTTAGCTCACAAAGCCACAGAGGGGGCAGTGATTAACTGATACGGTACAAGTTAATCTTCTAACTTTGAAGTTTGAATATACTATTTTCTTTTTTTTTACGTCACCTTTCAGGCTGCTGCTGCTCCCATCAATGTAGCAAGAATCATTGGGAGCAAAACTTCCCTCACCCCCCTTGGTGGGAATTTAACCCCAAGACCTCACACAAAGAAGAGAGAATTGAACCCAAGACCTTCCACAAAAGAGAGACTTGGGATGAATGATCATCCATTGGACTACACCCATCAACCCTGAATATACTGTTTTCTTCTTCTTTAAAGTGTATTATTATTTCTTAAGTGCTAGCCTCTCAATAGTTTGTGCTTAAATTATTTCTTTATATAGTGATGACAAATAAAGGACCAAAGGTTTAATTTAGTCCACATTTTAATTTTTTTAGAGTAATGTCCCCACGTAGGATATTTGAATGGACACAAGTGTAGAAATAAAGTGACCATGTAAGGCGATTTGCTATATACATTTCTCAATTCTGATGAGTAGGGATGGACTCGGGTCCGGGCCAGGTCCGGGTCAGGCCTAGGCCCGGGCGGGCCGGCGGTTCAAGAATAGTGGACCCGGAACCGGCCCGAGTAGCCACCGGGTCCGGGCCGGGCCGGGCCTCCGGTTAGGATTTTTTTTTTTGCTTTCCTAACCCCCCCCCCCCCCCCACCCTCCCAAACCCATCCTACCCATCAAGCCCAACCCGGGTGGAACCCCAAAATGAAAAAAAAAATAAAAAAAATCAATTTGGCCCTGGGCCCGGGCCCGACCCGGCCGGGCCGGTTCACCAAAATTGAGACCCGAACATGGTAAGCATTTTAAAAGGGATGGGAGTACACTTAAAAGCTGAAAAAAGTAGGGAGTAGGACAAAGCGTTTAAAATGTATAAAAATAACAAGACCAGAGCACCAGACCAGAACCAGGACCAGGACCATGGGGGACGGGAATCGGCTGAAACCAGAAATATAGATCCCATTTCTGGGCCTTCCAAATTCTTTTTAGGACCGGCCGGTCCAGGAGTCCAGGACCGGGACGTGTCCACCGCTACATAGGCCTGTAGCAAGAAATGTTGCACAATTTAACATATTGATCAATGTTTTAACTTTTAAGAGCAATGGCATATTGAGATCTCCCTGTGCAAAATAGTAATAGTGGTAATAACAACATAAGAAAGAGGACGATGCATATGATGATAATTAACACTTTAAATGCCTCAAAATGCATAGATACAAACTGTGCAACCATATACGATAGTATTACAATACTATTGAGCCATGTTGCAGATGTTATACTAGTTTCCAGAGTACTAATTTGAAGGATTTAATAGTAATAACCGCAACAAAACAGGGGAGGGTGTGGCGAAGAGTGAAGTAAGCAGTTGTCAGCAAACCGGGGTTGTCCGAATGAAGGAGTCATTCAGTTGGGGCAGCTTTCTTTGGATCATCAGACAAGGTCACCAAAGATCTAAGAACGCCAGGGCTGATCTTGTCAGCAAGAACTCCTTTTTCTGATATACAAAAAGACTTCTCCTTCACATGGCTTTGGAGTTTCTTAGCTTCATAATCTAGTTTATTTTGATCTGCATTAAAAGTTAAAGAGTGCTGATGTTACTCCAACCGTTTCATCTTTTGTACTTTCTGCAGAAAGGCCCTATAACTTAGATTGAACACCAAGCTATCATTAGTTCAGAGTGACAATTCGTACACATCCCTTTTAATTTGTGCAGATATGCAAACACAAAAAAGATCATGCCATCAAGAAAGAGACGTGAACAGTATAGTCAAAAGAAGAAACCTTGCTCCAGAATCGTATGGACAGCATGAAATGGAATACTAGCAAACACGTCAGTTCCTGGAAACATAAGCCAGTTGCTTTCCTTCACATCATGATTGCCGCAAGTTGAACAAATCTCCTTCACCAATGGTCTTGACTCGATACCCCGCATAATCGACTCAAAAGGTAGACTTATGCTGCTTTTTGAAGTCTTGGCTCTCTTCCTTAACGCCGTCAATGCTTCCCTATTTCTGTTTCTTTCCCTGTCATTCTCAACTAACTGCAATTACATTAGAATAATTTCACTTTTCTTTCCATTATTATGGGTAGTAAAAAGAATTATTTCAAGCACCTCTTGTCGTGCCAATAAAATACTCTCTCCTTCAATTTCTAGCTCGATCAATTTTTCTTGGAAGTGAGTCATTGTGGCATCCATGTTATACCACAAAATGGATAGCCTTCTATATAACAAAAAAAACATCAAAATCAATAAGCAAATATTAAATGCTCAGGGAAATCAATAAGCAAATATTAAATGCTCAGGGAAAGCAACTCTATAGTCACTTGTCCCAATAATACTAAAAAATTATCATTTGTTTACAGGAAAAAGAAGATTAACAAGCTAAATAACGAAGTCAAGTCTAATTCACGACAAGAACATAATAAGGCATATGAATAAAAGGTAGTCAAAATTGCTGAGCTGTCGTGATGAAAAAGTGGGAAGGAAAAGGCCTTGTCCAGCTTTTTTCCTTTGCAGAAAACAGATTTTATTAGACAGGGAAAACCCCCAAGTATAGTATAAAAACAAATATTTTAGAAAGAATCATTTCCATTTACATGGTTCTGTTATCCTCAGGGGCGGATCTAGCATTACAATTCAGTGGGGGCCAAAATGGAAAATATAAAATAACATCATGCAACAAGTCAGAGAGAATATGAGATTAATAAGTTAATACTAACCACAACTAATGAGAATATGTGAAAATCAGAAGCATATACTCACAATCTCACATTAACTGTACATTGACTAAAGCAAGAGAACAACAAAATAGAACAATACACAGGAAACAATCTAAAATAACAGTTAAGAGAGTAAAATTGTTGTACTTTCAGCTTTATAAACCCTCGCACTAAAAAATTAGATTGTAGGTTTTACTTGTTTAATTCACAACAACAATCTAGGGGGCAATCCAGGGATATTCCAGGATTCATAATTCAGAATCAATTCACAACAACCTGAAGTGTACCGAACTAAAGGTCTAAACCTGAATGCAAAGTTGCAAACAAATCGCAATATCTTACTATATACAAAATGGAGTGGAAAATCAGTCCACTTTCCCGCCTAAAGACACGGGTTACAACTTTGGTCTGGTTGGCCGAAGCTCTCTTGCTTTTATTATATTGTACGGGCGATGGCTTAAATGCAATTTTAAAAGCTGTCATACAATCCATTCATACTGCACCATACGAGGTGAGATGATGGTTGCGTGTTATATACGATTGAAATCTGCTTTATTAACATCCCAGATCTCTTTTTCGATAAAATGAGAGGTGTCCGAGACTTATTGCTTCTCAATTTATTTGGTTTTCCATGGCTGAAAAAGGGTTCATCTGAAATCGGAAGGATCTCATGACGGCTTGCTTCATCTGGGCTTTTGGAATTCAGGTGGTGATTTGGCATGGAGGTAGTCCATCGGGAGACTGGCGCTAGCAGTGCCACATATGTTGCAGCTACCCATGGAGGCCACAGACGCACTGTCAGCCTTTGACTCAGCAAGATGACGGTGACCGCTAATTGAGGCTGCTTGCAACCCGGTGTTGTCTCACCTACCAATTTCCCAATCTTGAGGTCGGGGACGGCGGACCTTGGGCTCTCATTTTTCAACTGCCGTGACTAGCAGCAAGATGGCGCCACAATCAACGGGGCGGGTGGGAGCCATTAAAGTCTAGGGATTGGCGAGTATGAGATGGCAATAGCTAATGTGGGCTGGAGCTTTTGATCTTGAGAAGGTAATATAATAGTTTATTACATTTTAGAGTAATTAAATGAGTATTTGTTTAGAACACCAGCAGATTTTGGATGAGGCTGCCGTTTGATCCGAAGGTATTTTGATGTCCTTAAAATAGTACTCCATATTCGTTAACATGTACGGAGAAATAGTATATACGTAGTATGTTAGAATTTATATGTATTTAGAAATTATATATATTAAATCAGTATAGTTACTTAAAGAGTATTTATTTAATTTCTAACAAATAAAATTAAATAAATACATTGAGTCTAACAAATAATTTCTAGCAAAGACTCTTACGGTACTTGTGAGGAAGACGATGAGCTGGTGGTTTTGGATGACGGCAGCAGAAACAACGACCAAGTGAGCAGTAAGAGGGCGGCGGACCGAGTGAAAGAGCCATGGTCTCAGGATAGGGATGCAATACTCAGTAAACTTGAATTGTGAGTAGCTCTGGTCCTGGGAATTGGAGCGTGATTGTGCGAGGAACAGGTAGATCGGGGAAGTCTTGCCGCCTCCACGTGTGCATCAGCTTGACCCTGCTGTTAAACGCAAGCCATTTACTGAGGAAGAAGAGCTCAAGACCCTCCAGGCACATGCTGTCCACAAAAATAAATGGGCAACAATTGCATAACTTTTGCCACAAAGAACCTGCAATGCAATGTTGGTCTTTTTTTGTATGAAGCAAATGGCTAACGCGTGCACAGCTGATATTCTGTTGCAAGGATTTTGTTGCATATTTAGAAGCTAATCCACCTATTTTGTTGCCTAAAATATTGTAACGTGAATGTTTCGTGATGTGTTTTAATGTGGTCTATATTTTGAGAGCTTTATTTAACCATGACACATTTGGACCGCATGTTTCAAGGGTTCGAGGTCCATACATAATCACTGATACACAACACAAAACATACGTTCTTTTAAAGATTGGTTGAAACAAAATGAGTTGTTTATCTTCAATAATTATGGTGGCAGATAAATATTGGACCGAGCAACCATGACACAAAAGCACTACTACATACGAATAGTCATCTATTTGTAAAATAAAACGCTGGTGAAGAATACATGATTCATAGTGGAATGCAATCCATTTAAGAGTTTATTTCTGAATAAAATAGAATGTTAAAAATTGAATTTTAAAACTCAAGTAAATTCTCAGTAAAATAATTAAATTCACTGGATAAATGTAGACTAATGGTGGTGACATATAAAGTGTACAAAAATAATGCTTAATCATTAAAACACAAGGAAATAAACTTCGATTATCTTATATTCTTATTTATATACTTCTTGTATACACAATTGCTTATTTAGGAGCCCGTTTGGTAATACCAAAATCGGCTGTAACGGCTGATTCTGCTGAAATTTATAAAGTTCATATTAAAGTGATTGGATTGACTGATTCTGTTGATTTATGAAATAAATATATTTAAAATATATCTTTTAATAAAATAATGAAAAAATTATATGAAAAACAACTAAAAAGTTGAGGGCCTGTTTACTAACAGATTTTTCCTGTTATCTACTTCTGTTTTTCGTTCTCCAAATTTCTGTTTTTATTTTTCAGTTTTTCTATCTCCAGTTTTCTGTTTCTATTTTCTAGTTTTCCATTTTCAAATCTGAAAACATGTTCATCAATTTTTTCACCCAGTTTTGTGATCATCCAGAAGACTGACATGTTTACTTCACAGGTTACTAAATGGTGCTGATTAAGACTCACGTTAATAAGCGACGCATAAAATAAGCAATGTTATAAGATCATGTTTACTTCAAAAAGTTTAAAACACCGTTTAACATTAAAATGTCCAAAATAACCCTATACATATATAGACACACAAACATTCATGAACACAAATATATAATATAATATGTGGGGTTGATCACCTCGTACGTACACCCATAATCCTAACCCCTACCCTGCCCCTATACCTCGTACCCCCCACCCTACACCCTACACCCAATTTCACACCCTTGACCCCTACCCCTACCCTTACCACGATCTTACACTCTACCCATACTACCCTAAAAACCTTCATACCCACCCATACCTACTCGTAGGGGTCGGGGTAAGGAAGAAAGGTATGGGGGTGGGGGTGGGGGTGGGTGAGGGTGGGGTAAGGGGTATGGTCAAGGTGGGGTGGTAAGCTCTAAGAGTACGAGGTTGGGTGGGGTAGTGGGTGGGTTAGGGTGGTGGTTAGGGACTTAGGGATAAGGGTGGGGGTAGTGAGTAGGGTTGGGGTTGGGGTAGGGTAGAGAGTTGGGATAGGATGACGGTAGGGTGGGGCTGAGATCAGGGGTGGGGTCGAGGTAAGGGAAGGGGTAGGATGGTGGTGGGGGTAGGATGGCGGTACGAGGGTGGGGCCGAGGTAGGGGGCATGTGGGAAGGGGTAAGGTAGGGGTAAGGGGTGATATACGAGGTGGGGGTAAGGTAGGGTGGGTCGGGGTGGGGTTGAGGTGTAGGGGTGGCAGTAGGGTAAGGTGGATCGGGGTGGGACCGAGGTAGGGGCATGTGGTAGGGGTGAGGGTAGGGTCATTGTAGGGAAAAGGGGTATGCTGGAGGTTGGGTGGGTAGGGTAGGGGTAAGGTACCTATAGCATATGTGTTTTCCAAATTTGGAAAACTAGTAAAAGTCACATCTCCAAATCATCAAGGAAAAGAGAGACATGCCTCATTTTTTCGTTTTGCAAAACGGTTTGGTAAACGCGTTTATCTGTTTTCCTTATCCAGTTTTCCACCAATTTTCTTTGGTAAACACGTTTCTTGTTTTCTGTTTTCTAGTTTTCGAGAGTCTTTCCTCTTAAGTTCTTAACCGTAAATGACTCATTCAGAAACTTTTTTCTATTAGATATA